AGCGGCGCGGGCGGCGGGCGCCCATGTGCGGCGGCGCCCCCCGCCTCCTCCCCACTGCCGGCGGCCCCCCGGTGTAGCGAGGCGGCGGCGGCGGCGGCGGCAGGATGAAGTTCGCCGAGCACCTCGCCGCGCACATCACGCCCGAGTGGCGCAAGCAGTACATCCAGTACGAGGTAGGCCCCCGCGGCCTCCGCGCGCGCTTCCCCGCCGGGCCCAGGGCGCCGCGCGGGGCAGAGCCCGGCCTCGCTGATCCGCGCTTTGCCCTCAGCCCTTCTGCTGGGAGTAAGGCCGGGGGCTGGGGAGATAGGCGAGGCTTTGCAGAGGCGGGACGCGAGCGGGCGGCGCCGCGGGGGAGGCCGCGCGGGAGCCGCCGCAGGGCCCGGTGTCCCCGCGAGCCTCCGTGTCCCGCTGCGGTTCCCGCCTCCATCAGGGCTCCTCACGCCGGGGAGTCCCGCAGGATTTAGCCGTGGATTACCTGCGGACCGCAGGGTTGCCCAAGTAGAAATTTGTCGCGGCGGTGCTCGCTGTGACACCTGGGTTTAGCTAGGCGCAGCTCAAGGCGGCTCGTGTTAGTCCTGCGGCCGCGTGTGTTTGCGGCCGGCAGCGTCAGGGATCGCTGCCAGCGATGTCCGTCTCCTCCGCAAGCGGTAGCCGGAGGTGGAGCGGAGAGCGGATTAGGAGACACCTGCGATTAGCAGAACTTGCTGCCCGACTGAACCCGCCAAAAGCATGCAGCGCTTTCACCCCTCGAATGCCTGGATACTCTCTTTAGGACCAGAACAGTGGTTTATTTCCAATGTCCTTATTAAAAGATGTCTGCTATTGCATGGAAAATCATTTTTATTTTAGCTTGCTCTGTTAGTAACTTGGAAAGGAACCATCCGTACATCTGCCCTTTGACCAGTCCTTTGTTTTCTTTTCTGCTCTCTGGCTGCAGATGAACGGATGTTTATAAAAATAGCAGGTGGATTTGGTTTTAGAACAGAATTGTGCGTTCCTTCAGTAATTCAGAGCATTAGATGGCAAAACGAATGTTTCGGTGTTTGTGGAGGAGGAAAACCATTGTGCTAGTAACGTAATATGCTGGTATTTCGGTGTCGCGTCTCTAGCTGTCCCTAGAATAACTCCTTGCTTTCTGTTCTTGGAAATGCATTTTGTAAGATGGAAATTTGGAAGTGCATCTGCTGGGAATGGAAAAGAAAACAGATGATAGACATATGGAAGATTTAGCTCCATATACTTTATACTTTAGTTTCTGACCTACAGCTCACTGGGAGGGGACCCGGTGAACTAGACAGCTCTGACTAAGGTGTGAAGAACTCAGCTCCCGGGCTCTTTGCAGGAGGATATCGTGCCTCTTGGTTTCAGATGTTTTAACTAGGGCAGTGTTATTGTGGGTCACTTCCTCTCCACGCTAAAATAAAGATGGGTTTTCCGTAGGATCTCTCTTCTAGACATGGTACAGAAGAGATTTCCTCCCTGGCCAGATAACTGAACCTAGAGGGAATTGCAATAAAAGCCTCTCCCTCCTTTTTAGTAGTAAGTCTCAAGACTCCCCGTGTAGCCGCCTGAATGTGAGTCAGCCTCCTGCTCATGCATATTCCGCTAATGGCAGGGGCATTTATTATTCAGTACCTGGTGGTCGGGTGAGCGTGGAGCATAAAAGGGCGGCGCAAACTTGGTTTACTTGTTGATTAGGTTTGAGACAAAAAAAAAACCCCAAAACGCATGCAACCTTCTGCTTTTGTCAGGAAAAATACCGAGTTGTTGATTCGCAAACGTGAAGTCAAATGCTGCTTTTGGTACCTGTGCAAAGCATATACCGAATTCTACCAAAATTGCTGGCTCTTTCGTGGCATTGTGCATCTTGCTGTTCAGGCTTTTTGTCGTTTTGATTGAAACAGATGAGGTTTTGCAGGGAAAATTTTCAGCTCGGGAGAGATGTCAAATTAACGATAGTAATGAGAGGACTATAAAATGGAATAGAAATTGCTTACTTTAAGTCATACTGTTTCATAGAGCTCCCAAGTAGTCATCTTATTTTTCTACTGTGATATCTCTAGTTATTTCTGTTGGCGAGCAGGTGACTTTGCCATGCAGTTGAACAGCCCCCACGTCTTTTAAGAGCTAGGATCATTTCTGAGATGCAAACTGGGTGATGCCTCTTTGGAACAGATGCACAGCCAGTGTGGCTGTAAGGAGCTTTGTCTTGCAGAAATTCCCAGTAAACCTGGGAGGAGTCCCCGATTAGGGAAAGAAGAAGGAGCCTGTTTGGTGCTGAATACCTAAAAATGTAGTATCACTTCGTAGTATCATTTTCCAGAATCAGATACTTGATCAGGGCAGATATGAGTTGATTTTTTTTTTTCTTTATACAGTAGAAATTAAGATGGGTGGTGGTAGCTGCAGGTAAGGTTCTTATTTTCTTTCTCTCGCAGAAGCCCCATGGTCTGTTTGCATTTGGCTGCTGATGGGGGCTGAGGGAGATGCTGTGTCCTGGGCTCTTCCATTCCGCAGCTCCCAAGCCATTGGCAGTGAGTGAATCCACACGAGGGTGGAGTTGTACAAAAGCCATGGCTGCCTTAGAATGAAATATCAAATTAACTTTCCTTTCTGAGAAAATATGCAGAGGCAGAATTTTGCTTTTCACATGTTCTAGACAAAAGTCCGTTCTGAAGTGATGTTTCTTGAAACCCCCCCTCCATGCAAATGGTGAGGCGGGCTTTATGCGAGCAGCAATGGCAATAACATTGTATAAAATCTCCACGTAAAATGGCATTTTTACCATTGTCCTTTATTTGTCCAAATCATGACACGTTTTCCTATTGCTGCTTTGTGCTTCTTTGGAGGACTTTAGGAGAAAGAAGAGAATTTAGCTCTGTCTGTGCAGACCTCCAAGTGTGAGTATGTGTGCCCATCAGTCTGATAGAAACACAGCTGAGTTTTACACTTGCCAGATGGCAATTTTGTTGTTGGTTAATCTGGTCTGATTTCATTTATCTGGATGCAGAAGTCTCTTTAGTCGTCTCATAAAATCTTACCAGCCTCTAGTCTTCTTGCACACAGTTTTCCTTGTATTCGTCTCTTTGCCATATACCCTGTTACAGCAAAGACGACTGGAGAATTACTGACCAAATTTGTCCGTTTCTGCCTTTGTGACTTAAAACTGGCAATAACATGAAAAAGGAGGGCAGAATTCTTGTGGAAATGCAAGGCCTAGGCAAGGAGGCGGATGAGAGCAGACACGACAGGTAAAAATACCCAGCCTTGCAGGCAGCAGCAGGCTGGGAAGATGGAAGGGGCAGTTGTAGCCTGCTGGTCTCCGGAGGCTCCTTTTTCCAAGGATTGTTGGGACGGCGCCAGCTCCGCTCCTCCGGGTGCGCTTCGTGACGGGCGCTTCGCACCCGGCCCGCCACCTCCTGCCACAATCTGCTCTGCTGTTTCCCTGCTCCTCCCTCTGGGGGCTCACAGGCTCCGAAGAGCAGGAGCGCTTTGAAAGCCAGGCAGCTTAAATAACTGCTTTGTTCCACCTTTTAACATTTTTTTCCCTTAAATTTGTCCATTTTTGTGGCTTGACAGTTGTGTTTCTAACTGTTTTCTCTTTGCTTTTTTGGTGCTCGATGTGCATGCGTCAACTTCACTCACTTCAAAACAGACTTCAAAACTCACTTTAAACCAAAACCTTTTCCTGTCTAAGTTCTAAGGGCAGAAAGAGTAATTCCTTCATATGAGAAGGTGAGAGTGGCTTGTAGAAAGAATCTCTCCTAAAATTTTGCCATCCAGGGGACTAAGGATATTTTCAGGTTCTAAGAAGCGCTCAGCCTTTTGCTTTACAGACTATTGCTTTGCTTGCATAGGTCTGATACCTGCTGCCAGCCCGTGGGATCGCGGTCTGCGGGACCACCTCAGTGCAGGACCTCCAGCGGTGGTGGCTTTTTATTTCTAAATGAGTTGTAAACTTGGAGACAGGAAATGCTGCTAAATTAGCTCTTGGTAGGCCAAGAGGAAAAGCAGTTTTCTTATTGCTGTGCCTTCCAGGTTGTTCTCTTTTTGTTTCTCCTGCGTTGCGTGGTGGCTGTGGCTCATGGAAAGACTTGCAGGTCGGGGAGGATGATGAGTGGGGTGAAGAAAGGCAGAGGGTTTTTACCGCTTGGCATAGGGAAGCAGGTCATGCGCCGCTCTCTAGCGAGTCATGGGAGGAAACGGGCTGAAACGCCCCGTGTTCAGGAGGAATTTAAAGCCAAAACGCAGGGTAGGAGAGAACTGTGTCACTGGAATCATCCTTGGGCAAGGGCTTAGTTGGGAAAACAGTTATGCAAGTGACCTTTGTTAGGACCTCTGCAGACTCGGGAATGAGACCTTTTGAGAGATGTCTGATCTGCCTGTTTAGCTTGCCGGCTGCGATACCCTGTGATAAATAGACATGTCCTTTAGACCTTGTGTTTACTTAACAAGATCATAACCGCCAGGTTTCAGCAGGATTGAGTTTCTAATTGCTGAGCTTGTGGGTTTTGTTTCTTGAGGGATTTGCTATGATGTGGTTTTTTTATTTTTTATTTTTTATTTATTTTTTATTTTTTTTATTTTTACTTTTATTAGGCTGTGATGTTTTGACCTCAGAGGGAATTTGGGGTGGGGACAGTGTAGTGAGTGCAGAGATGTAGGGTGATAAGTGGGCTGGGTAATGGGCAGGAGAGACGAGAAACTTCCAAGACTGGAAAGGGAGCTAAATGACTACTGTGGCTTAGATTTCTATATGTTCAAAACTTGGGAAATAAAATCCAGTTCTTGAAGCAATGGTGTGTAAAGCACTCGAGTTCATTGTGTGTGTGCGCTGATAAGTTTATCTTTATTAGTGATCTCGCACTACGTAACTGTCCTTATTGCTTCTCTTTCCCAAATCTTCATTCTAGTCCTTCAAGCATTCAAACAGTGATTTTTTTTTTTATTTATTTTTTATTTTGTATTAGGATGTGTGATAGAGGGCATGTTTAACTTATAAACGACATAATACCAGCAACTTGAAGCCTCTGAAAGGAGGTGGCCTAAAAAGAGATCCAATTTGATCAGGTTTCCTGTTTGTTGCTTCTGAGCTGTTGTGCCCCACAGGTGATTCTGCTTTGTGGTAACTGAAAGGATTAAACCAAAGCGACTGGGGAGCTTGTCCTTTTGGCCTCTGGAATGCTGATTCCCCAGACCTCTATTTGGTTAATATTCTGGTTAATTGGTTAATAATTCTGGTCTCTGTTCATTTTGTCCTTCTATTTGCACCTCGAGAGAGTGCCGTTGCTCTCGGCTCCGTGATCGCGTTTTGTCAGGTTGTCCTCAGCTTGTAGAACATGCCTGTGTTTCTCTACTACTGCAGAGCAGTGGTAAGAAATCCCCGAGGCTGCTCTTGTGCCACTTGCCGTGACAAACTCCTTTCTGTGTCATGTCACAACTCTGAAATATTTTATTTATTTTTTTTCTCCTCAAAGTAGATGCTTAAAATATTATGGGAATAAATTTTGAAGTTCAGTAAGGTAACAGGTGCTAGAGGAAGCATTCAGCATGAACTTGTGTGCCTCCTGTTATGAGAAATCAGTGCTCAAGCATTGACATCACGCTCCCTAGCATGGGTGTCAGTCTGGAGGGGTAGCAGGACTTGAATTGCTGCTTGTTTTCCAACAGGCTTATTAAAGGATGTATTTTTTTTCTTTTAATACTAATGGGATTACTTGTGCCTTTCTTCTTACAGGCTTTCAAAGAGATGCTGTATGCAGCTCAGGACCAGGCCCCTTCTATAGAAGGTAAGCAGATTTTAATCTAGCATCATGTTTTTCTTGGCCTTGGGTGCTGGACACAGAATACAACCGCTTTTCTGCCCTCAGTTCTCCTAAATTGGTGAAGTTAATAGACTGATGGGCAAAAGCCTGGCCTTTCACAGCCTGCGGGCTATTTTTGATTGTCGGGATGCTTTGTCCTCTGTCACAGAACAACACATGTCTTTGTATGGCTTGGGACTTCAGCAGCTGGGTTCCTCTCACTTACGAGAACACTCGCTCGTGGAAATGCTTCCGTCTAGTTTGAGAGCAGAGCTTTGTTTTTCCGTGGCAAGCAGCCGCTCGAGGAGGTACTTGTGCTGGGCACATCCTGGTTCCTCAGCTAGCACTGGCGGTTTGAACTGCAAGAGCTTTTTGCTTTCATCCTGTGTCCTCCATGTCCTTCTCACTAGAGCCCTTTACGTTATTTCTCTGTCTTTTCCTTATGTTACCTTTGAGGTACTAAATACTTTTTGCCTTTGTGTTGCCTCAGGATCTGAAAGTGACTGAAAATGTGAAAGTGATTTCTAACTCCTCCTTTTTTCCTCCTCTTTCTTATGTTCACTTTGATTGCAATGCACTATTAATTTCACAGATCTCCTTAACTGCAGTTCTGGGCTTCAGTATTATAAATATGTACATTTATATATAAAACATATATTAAATAGATGAGAGAGCATGAGAGTGTGCAAGTGCAGAAGACTAACTGTGTCTTTAGTGTGGTGGGTTGACTAAGATGGACAATATTTCCTAAAATGGGGTAAAACGTATTTTCTCATTATTCTCATTTCAAACATTTCAAAACATATTCTCATTTCTCAACTGCTTCTTTGGCCTGCTCTGTGTTGGTCAGCCTCAGAAAATGAGGTGTGATGTAGTTAAAATAATGTGGAATATTAATTTGATGGATTTAACTATACTTTTCTTATTGGAATGTTAAAACCCTGATTATAGTAGTTAATAGACTAAATGTATTGTGAGAGTTGGGCTAGTTTCTAGCTATACTTCTCAAATGCCCAATCTATGTTGAAAAGTTCTTCTTTCAGGCAATGCTGGTGCATGTATAATTCTTAAATTTAGCTTGATACTTGGCTGGTTACTTGCCTTAACCTACTAATTTTGTTAAAACAGCAACCTCTTTAAAGTGCAGGCTCCAGAACTACCTTTCTTTTGCTGGGTGGCAACAGTCCTAGTGTCATCAAAAGAACAGAATCCTTGTTGTACTGCATGCTAAGCCTGAAACTCTAGCCTTAAAGTAGTTTTCTTTGCTCAGGTGTTACTGTTTTACCAACCGGGTGGGACTTAGTGCACATCTTAAGAAGACTTCACCCCTCTTTGTTTTATGTTTTTATTCCTAAAATGTAAAGCTTTTAGTTAAGGATCAGATGTTACCATACAAAGCTAACCATAAAATTCCCAGTTTATGATTCAACTTTTTTGTTTAATTTTAAATTTTAACTTGTTTCTAATTCCTTTGGTACTTTTGAAGCTTGACCAACAATAAGGGAGTTAATGACCTGCAACTGTTGTATTTATGGAAGTGTTTTGTTTGTTTGTCTTGTGGGTTTTTTGCTGTGTTTTTAAGATTGGCTCTCTTCAGTATTGTCTGTAGAGAGCAGAAAATGGTGCAAGCTGCTTGTGCGGCTCGTTTAACTCCATCTTGCCCAGCCACCGAGAGCAGCTCCTCTGCTTCCCTCCGCTTTGCTCCAGGGAAATGGGGAGCATTCTTCTTCCGTTCTTCTTCCATTGACCACAGGAGTGCTGAGGTATCGGAGGCAAATACCTTTCCGTGGGTTTGTACCAGCTGGAAATGGAGCTGTTTCTCCGTCCCTGTTGCTTAGTTCCTTTTCCCCCAAGTCCTTCCTCCTTTGCCTTTACCATGAGCACTAGTTCTCAGCCTGGTGGTATCTGTGTACAGATGGTGTCCAAAACACCGCTGTGCTCTGTGACAACTCATGGAGCAAGTTCTTGGGCTTTGGGGGGGCTGCTAGGTACTTTTCTGTTACTTTCTGGTATTTTGAGTTTAGCATAGAAACTACAGGAGTCTCTTATTGAAACTTATCTTTCCAGCATGAGTCTCAATCTCATTTTAGACTACTTTAACTAAAATCCATATTCTAAATAATCTTGATTCTAGGCTGTAGACATGCACAGTTGGCTTTTGCTACGCTCGATATATAGTGTAGTGCTAATCTTCAGTTAATGCTTTCTGATTTATTACTTGAACTGTGAGGACGAGTGAGTATTAGGTAAACTGTGCAACCTTGGGAGCTTGTGGCAGGGTCATATGTAGGACCAGCCTCCCTGTCTGGGATATGAATAAGCGAAGAAAGCTCCAAAATGATTGTTGAGGTCTGTGAGTGACTGTTCTGCTTTTTTTCTTAGTGGAGAGTCTGGCTGGGAAGGGGGTCTCAAATCTAGATGGCAGGTTCTTAGTCTGCTGCTTGGCTGGTTGTGTGATAACCCTTCTCATTGCACTGAAATGAATGGCACCTACATCCATCTGCTTCCACATGCAAATTGTGATGCTAAAGATAAAAAAGGAATAACACAGGCTGAAAAGTCTAATTCGTGTAGATTCTCATGGTCTCTTGTGAAGCTTTCCATCGATGAAGACTGCGTCCTCCTTCCACCTGAGCAACATCTGTAGGAAATCACTGCTTCGTCTTGTTACTCCTTCCAGCGATGTGTGGGAGATTGAATTATCAAATGGTGCTTGATCCCCAGCAGTGCTATGGGCCTTGTTTGAGTTCCTGGAGAATTCTTTGATGCGTTTGCTTTGTTGATGATATGTGCGTGGTATTAAGACTGATCTGGGCAAATTGCTGCTGCCGTGATGATAGTCTCTGCCTCCGAGTCCTCGTGACGTGGCCGGGAGAGCTGCGTGCCAGGGTGCCAGCTCAGTGGGGCAGGCCCGCAGCACTCGTTCCCAGCTAAGGGCAGTAAGAACTTGCAGCACTTTTTAGGCGAAACCTCATGTGGCGGCTCATTCCTTTGAGATAGGATGTGCTTTGCAACAAATCATAACAAGGGGATCCCTCATGGCGCAGGTTTCTCCCACGGCTTCCTGGCGGGCTGGTCACCCAGGTGAAATAGGTTAGTGGACCATATTGCTTGGAGCGTCCTGGATTATTCCACCCGGTGAGCAGATGTGTCGGCATCTCCCCAAGCTCCTTAGAATTCAGCTCTCCTCGGCTGCGGGGAAGATGAAAAGGTGGCTGTAAATTATTCATTCCCATCATCTGCCTGAATGGTCAGGGCCTGCTCCAAATATTATTTCCTGGAATATTTGCCTTTCAGATATTGAAATTTAACCTCCCTCTAAAACTTATGTAAACGAATAGTGTTGTAATATCAGATGGTACGGGAGCGTTCTGCTGTATCGTTTCATTATGGAGATTACTTATGCCATTTAACTCCAGTCGTGAATTCCACAGTGCCTTTTGAAGAAGGATCCCTGTTTGCTAAAGAGCTTTATGAAACTGCAAAACCTGAATGAGGTAGGAATACATTAAGCTCAAAATCATAATCAAAATTAATGGGCGATGTTAAAATGAGACATCATTTGCACAATTTGCAGGGGAAAAGCTCTAGTACTAGCAGGAATTCTGTTGAACTTGCATTTGTATTTTCATTTACTTAGCTCTAGATTAGACAAGCAAGAGGTGTCTGAAAGCGTGGGACAGTATTGGCACTAGCAGCATAATCTGCAATTATTACCTGGTTGCTGCTTTCATTTAACATACACTAACAGTATTAACCTATAGCCAAATGTCTTTAAATAATTTGGATTTATGTCTGTTAATAAATGATGTTCTTTAGGTTGATAATTACCCTTAATGAATAAAGCAGGATGTGGAGAAACACATTTTCTCTTTTCTCCAAAGTTTCAAGAGCCACAATTCTATAGTTTTGTGGTTTGGTTTTGTATATACACACATACACATACAAATTTATATCCTATATGAAAATATATAGCCTTTTAATTTAAAATAAATGTGTTTCCTGTTAATTTACTTTGCCACAGGCTTTGTTTGTGTGAGAATATTTAGGCCTAAGCGAGTCCCCAGAAGCCCTTCCCATCAACCACCATGGAGCAGTCGTGTCTCTTGATGCCGTGTATCTCTTGCCGCCTTGTTGTGGACACACAGAACTTGGACCAGTGTCTTTTTGCACGATGCCAATGACTAAAGGATGGGGACCATGTTTCTTACTAGGATGTAACCTCCAAAATCCCACAGTGCTCCCCTTTTCCTTTGGGTACCTGATGCCAGTGACAATGTTGGTTTCCGGAGCACACGGATAGCGATAGGAGAAGCTGGCTGCGCCCCAGCGTTTAGGCGGTGAGGTGATGCCCAGTTTCTCTGATGCTTCCTCAGCGCAACCGAGTGTTTGGATTCTGCCATCTGTATCTGAAATGCATTTCTTTGCATAAATAACCTCAGGGACAGCTTATTAAGGTAAGCAGGCATGGAATAAAAAGCAGGAAGCTGCTAGAATGATGGAGAGCAACTTGTGAGTAGTGCAGCCGCCTTGCTGGGACAGGCTTTGGTTTGATGGCTGTAGCCTAGGCCCTGACTTCCACCTCGTGGTGTGGGACACGTTCAAAGCTGTCTTGGCAGCAGGGAACAGCTCTTAGCCGGGAACGTGTCACCCGCTTAAGACACGTTGTGGATAGCAGCTACAGTAGTTCGGACAACCCTGAATCTGTCCTGCTGGGAGAGGAGCTCAAATACGACTCGGTAGTCAGCAGTATAATCTAGGTTCAAGGCTGCTTCTGAGGCTGGGTAGGGACAGTTAACTGCTGTGTAATTATTTTTATACTTTTCTTTTAGCATCCTTTGGTACCAGCTATGAAGGCTTACGAAACGTGAGCAAACGGAGCAGTTGGAGCTCAGTAGGTCACAGTGAGGGTGCCGCAGGTGAGCAAGGCTGGCTCCGTGAAAGGCGGCTCCGATGGGCAGGTTTCCCTCTGGCTCTGCGAGCAG